CCCCCTTCCCTTCACCCTGCGGCTTACCCGCCCGGAGCTCAGCCCCATGTAGCTACCCCGAGCCACCGGACCCTGCAGAACCTGCTGCCTTCCTGACGAAACGCTGCTAGACATCTCTCCACCAGCCCGCCGCTCGTTCCGGCTGGGATTTGCTCCCGTGGAGTCTGGAAGAAAACCAAGCTCTTCCTTTCCACCGGGCTGTCCCCGTTTTGCAGCGCTCCTCTCACTAAAGCTTCTCGCTCCCTTTCTTCTCCGCCCCGAGCCACCGGACCCTGCAGAACCTGCTGCCTTCCTGACGAAACGCTGCTAGACATCTCTCCACCAGCCCGCCGCTCGTTCCGGCTGGGATTTGCTCCCGTGGAGTCTGGAAGAAAACCAAGCTCTTCCTTTCCACCGGGCTGTCCCCGTTTTGCAGCGCTCCTCTCACTAAAGCTTCTCGCTCCCTTTCTTCTCCGCCTGCTCTTGTCTCCCTTCTAGCGGCTGATCGAGCTCCCCTTTATCCGAATAGTTCCCGAGGTTTTATTTCCCCCTTTCCCCACGTCGCTACTGTGTCGCTTCGCAGCCCACCGCCTCGCGGAACAATTCTCTGGTCGCTATTTCTCACCGCGCATTGGGCTCTTGTTTGAAATGAGCGCAAGTTGCGTTGTCACAAGCCTCACCCGCGTTGAAATAGCCGCGTCCGTGCCTGGGATGCGATCCCTCCCCTGGCTGTTCGTTGTCACTCTTCCCCCCTTAAAAACGGTGCTAGTCATCACGGCCGTATTGGGGCTTTCAGGGCCGGGAGCTCCCAGACTGGCGCAGAAACGGCTTTTAAAAATAGCTTTAAAGTGTAAACCAATTATTTCTTCCACATATACATTAGAACGCCATTTTTAAACATATCTCCAGTGTTAATCTATAAAACAATATCCTGTATCATAAAGCCTCAGGACCCAGGCTGGCCCCAGCCCAGGCTACGCATGGAGGCTGGACGACTGATCAATTTCATCTAGTTAATTTCAATCATTACCCAGCCAAACATCCCCCTCCCCTCGCGCAACGCTGCGTTTGGAATCGCGTTGCTTGTTCGCTTCGGCGGAGACCAGACCTCGCTACGGGCACGGCGGGGGCTGTGTCCCCCTCTTGCTTCGCTAGTCATTGGGGGGGGCTGGCTCGACTCCCC